CAGCCTCTGTAGACTGGCAAACGCCCGAATGCGGTCGGAATCCCCCTCTAGACTCTGCCCCCTCATACCTTTCATTGACCAGACACCATTCTGCCCACCAGCGGCCGCGACGATTCTTGTCACCGGCCCCTACCCGCCCCTGCTGCTAGAACCCCTTTCCACTCTCTTAGGACTCTGATTGTAGCCTCTAGACTCCGTTACGTCTGGACGGATCCCAGTCCCGGAGCCACAGCCACTAGTGCTTCCTACCCCATTGCAACGTCCCAGATCTTTGGTTCTCCTACGAATCATCGCTACCCTGCCTTCGTAGGGTCCCTTCCGCAGCTTACTTCCAGTCGGGTTGGCTAGCTTTTCCCCCTACCCATACAAGCTTTCAGATAGCCCCAATGTCATGATGCTGTTACTTAGTAGGTCTCGGGTCAGCCCTTCAAATCACCAACATAGTCCTGGATCTCCCTCATGCCCTGGTGGTGTGTACCTTTTCTAGAAGATCACTCCTTAAGCAAACCGTGCTACCTGTTTTCGACCCAGTCGGGATTTTTCTTCGCTTGTAAAGAAATTTTCAGGAAAACTTAAAGAAATTATTTACTTAGTCCAGTGTATTCACTCCGTTGGATATTAAGGGGTCAGACTGAGACCAATGTTTGGACCCTTTGGGCTGGCTGCTGAAAGGGAGAAAGGGAAGAGTGTAGAAGCTCAGAGAAGGAGGGTGTGTGTACCATTACAAGGTCGAGCAGCTTGCTTGCTCCTCATCTTGCCTTAGTAGAACGAAAGAACCAGTCTAAATCAGACACTTTAGGGGCTTCTGTAAGGATTAAGTTGCATTACGCCAATGAAGATAAACAAGTCTCCATATAGTATTTATCTCACCTCTTTGTAGATTTATACAGATATATAGGTTTTAATTAGAATTTTAAATGTACTGTTTTTGAACTTGTTAGGAAAACAGGGTTTATAGCTGTTCTTAACTCCTGAAGACTAAGGTTGTTTAGTAATTTTTACCAACCGATGTTACTGTCTTCTCCACCGGGCAAATATAAATGTCATTCAGTGTCGAAGTCATTGCTAACAGCCTTCTCAGAAGTAGTAGAATAATGAATAAAATGTTTGTTGAAGTTGTACTCCTGAGATGCAAAAAAGGAAATGTAATAGTTAAATTAAGTGTTAAGTGTATAATTTTAATGTTGATGCAAGGGTGAGGGATAATAAGATCTTTGTAGTTAGTACTTAAAGTTTTATTTTTTCCATTTTGGGTGTGTGTGTGTGTGTGTGCCTTCGTGTAATATAGGGAGAAAAATCAATTGACATCATAGGTACTAATGAGACACCGTTTAAAAGTCAAAAGGGTCAGAACAATAATGTAGTTTTAAAAAGGTTTAGTCTCCAGCCACTCATTTTCTATTTTTCAGCTTCTGTAACTGGTATAGGGTGATATTTCCAGCGTTTACAAACTTGTATCTACTTGCAGCCTTAAGATACACAAATTACACACAAATAGTTCTGTTTTCAAATAAAACTGCTAAGTCCTCGTGATCATTCAGCAATAGTATGCATGAAAAAAACCTCATTTACTGACTGATAGTATTTCATTTTGATGGATATGGATTTATTTTCAGTCCTTTTCCAAAAATTTCTGAATGCTTTATTTTAAATGTATGTTCAGTTATGTATAAATGGTTTTCATGATTTGAAAAAAAATCTGGTATTTGTTTTTGTGTTGAACCTGTACAAAGAAGTGTATATAAGTGTTGTCCTTGTTGACTTTCTGAGATATACAAATAAGTGTATGTAAAGTGATGTTCTCATTGACTTCCTGAACAACTAACTGTCTTGACTAGTTTTGGGGGTGGTTATATTTATCAGAAAAATGTTCAGATTTGTATTTTTGTAAGTCACTTTAGAGCAGATTAAAAGTAGAATAAAGTTGCTGGGCAGTGGTGGTGCACCCTTTAGTTCCCAACACTTGGGAGGCAGAGGCAGGGGGATCTCAGCAAGTTTCAGGACAGCCAGGACTGTTACACAGAGAAACCTTGTCTTGAAACACCAAAAAAAGCAATCAAATAAACAAATGAAATAAAGTAGAATAAGCAAGTTGACTAGCCTTAGTGATTTGAGGGAAGAGAATACAGAGAGGACAGAATTCTAGATATCTTGCTAATCTTTTCCCTTATAAGTGGGGGTCACATGATGAGTATTTTTATTTCATGACAGAAGGATAGGTTCAGTTGTGACATGTTAAATTATTGGCTTTTAGGTAGCTGAATTTGTGACTGAAATTCATAAAATGGGGTTTGTGTTAGTAGTAAATTTTGGAGGCAAAGATGCATACAGATGGAGGGAAAAGATTTCAGGCAGAAACCATAGTTAAAGCTCATAAAAACCTAGATTAAGTTCTTTTCAAAAGTTTTATTAGTGAAAACCACAACCTAATGTGTTATTTTTACTACTGCTGTTACTTTTTAAAATCTTATTTTTATTTCTTAGAGTATGTCTGTGTGCGCTTATGTGCATGAGAGTGTTTGGAGCCAAAAGAGTGTGTCCGAACCCCCTGAAGCTGGAGTTAGAGGTAGTTAGAGCAGCTGGACATAGGTTCTAGGAACCTTACTAGGGTCCTCTGCAAGAACAAGATGAACTCTTAATCTCTCAACAACCTCTCCAGTCCCACTATTACTACTTTTTTGTAATAGGGTCTCATGTCCCTCAAAACTCATGTAGCCCAGGCTGGTCTTGAACTCCTTAACTCTACCTCTGGAATGCTGGGATTGCATGAATGTGCTGCTGTCTCTTTAATGCAGTGCTCTGGACTGAACCCAGGACTTTGTGTATGCCAGGCAGACACTATCAGTTGAGCTGTGTCCCCAGTCCATTTATTATTTTTGTGAGATAGTGTTTTTCCATTTAGTATAGTTGTCCTAGAATTCTCTAAATAGCCTAGGCAGGTTTCAAACTCTGGAGCACACTAAGCCCTCAGATTAGAGGTGCTAGTACATAGTGCTAATGTAGGACTTTAAATTTTTTTTGAATTAATTTAGTGATATACAGTTTATGAAGAGATGGTATAAATTCATTGTTTTTGTTTTGTTTTTAATTTGATGGTGATTTGCTGCTTTGTATATAGCTGCTGATGTATTTTGAACTCTGGGGCTCAGTTGATCTTCTTGCCTCAGCTACTTAATTAGGTAGTTGGAACTGCTAATGTGCACCATTCTGTTCAACTAAACTTATGTTTCAAAAGAAATATTACTTAAGTGGAAATTAGTAATATACACCCTATTTTTCTCATCATTTTGAATTATGTAGATATTTATTCAATCTTTATTATTTTTATTTAATTATTTTAATTTTTATCATGTATGTGTCTACCAGTGTCAGTGGGGGCCAGAAAAAGGGATCAACTCCCCTAAAACTGGAGTTATAGGCATTAGTAAGCTGGCTGTCATAGGTGCTGGGGTTTGAACCTGCATCCTCTGAAAGAGTGGTAAGTGCTCTTATCCATTTCAGCCTCTCAGTCATTAACATTTTCAAAGAGGTACAGAAAGTTTGAGAGTAAGTTGGCCAAAGATATTAAATAGTAAGTCTTTTTTAAAAAATTGAATGATTAATTTTTTAGGAATATTAATAGTTTGAAGTAAACAATCAAACCAGATATTTTAAAAATACATCAACTTGAGTCAAGCATGGTATTATAGAACTTCAGTTCCAAGCCGGGTGGTGGTGGCTTGGAAAAAAGGGTTTCTCTGCAACTTTGGAGCCTGTCCTGGAACTAGCTCTTGCAGATCAGGCTGGTCTCGAACTCACAAAGATCCGCCTGCCTCTGTCTCCCGAGTGCTGGGATTAAAGGCGTGCGCTAGCACTGCACGGCTCAGTTTGTCATTATTTCTATTTTGTTTTTGAAGATTTATTTATTAGTGATGTATAGTGTCCTGTCTGCATGTATCCCTGCCCGTGAGAAGAGGGCACCAGATCTCATCACAGGTGGTTGTGAGCCACCATGTGGGTGCTGGGAATTGAACTCAGGTCCTCTGGAAGAACAGGCAGTGCTCTTAACCTCTGAGTCATCTCTCTAGCCCCTTGTCATTATTTCTTGCACCTTTTTTTATTATAATATTTCACAACCTTCTTTTCTTCTGTATTCTTTCTTTTAAATTCAAATGCCTCTTAGGCTTCTGTGATGCTTTCCAAATGGTTAATCTTTTTGCTTTCTGTCTTCTGCTGTTTGTTTCTTGTATGTTTTTTGCACTGCTGCCAAAATCAAGTATTCTAAAATACTCTTAGGCTCATCCAGTTGCAAGGAAGAGACTCAGATTACCTTAAGTAGTTAGTGTTTTTGGAAAACAAACGGTTTGTACATGCAGAAGGGAGCCCAGTAAAAATGAAACAAGTTGACTTCAAGA